TTCTTTACAATATAACAATACACGCTTGCCTGTAATGCTGTTAGATTAGATCTGTTGTTACTTAGGAGAAACATGTCAACATTTAGAGAAGACGACGGTGATCGAGGACATTTAGGGCTCCAAAACTTTTATTACCACCTTCCCGAAACTCACACGTGGGGGGGGGGGGGGGGGGGGGGCTAACATCGTTCCACAGCAGCTCCAGCACCAGATTTCTGCCTGGTTAAACATCCGACCGTTTAGATATCACTAATATGGTGTTAAATTGTTGGCAGTAAATTTGAACCTCATGCAACAAGCTCTTCTCAGAACTGTTGCGTTGTCCGAGGACGGGACGCTTGCAAAGCTTTCCCGTCTCTAACCATGAGTTGCATATGTCTTGAAAGTACATGTGAAGTAAGAAGAGAGCCGAACCTGGTAAAGAAAACTGCCTCCATGCCCAAATCAGAGAGCACAGCAGGATTCAACAGGGGGAGTACTGAGTGAGCACTGAAAACAGCTGAGCAAAGATCCAAAACCACTAAAGTGAAAAAGCTAAAATGGCTGCATGTGATGGTCTTTCCTGCAGGAATAAGCTCAGGTGGGCATTTAAACAGGATATTCTGAACAGCTCTGAAACGATTCCTTGCATGTTTTTACACCTCAAAGATGAAATACTTTTCCCAAATATTCCAACCCAATCTGCGTATTTGAATGAATAAGAATCAGAAAAAAAGAGGATCAACTTCATTTACAGCAAGAAATCCCTGGTTTTCTAGTAAACAAGTGAAATACTTCCAGGAACTATTTTAAAATGGTGAAAAAACACTGAACCTTAGTAAACGTCAGAACATCAGAGAGCCAGAAATAGACCAGCTTCTATCGAGCGGTGAATTTGCATTCTGAGATGCATCAAACACTTCGGTGTACGTCACGTGTTTGCATGTGATTCAGAAGAAAAGCCTTCCCAGCACCCGGGAATGTGATGAAAACAAGATATGAATGAGGGAGGAGGCGCAGCTGGAGGGCTTTTAGACCAGATCTGTGCTTTGCAGTCAACATCTAAATGCCTCCAGCGAAGGAATCAATACAGTTCAGACAAATGAAGACTAGATCAATGTGTCAAACATTCATTATAAACCCTCAAAGTCTCCATTCTGCCAGCACACACAAGCATTAGGAACAAATTATGACCATCCCAATGTCAAAACAAGTGATTATACATCTCGTACCGTCTCTGTGATGAGCAAATAAACTATTTCTGATAACAATGGCACCGGTGCAGCAGGACAAAATGAGATCAAACTCTCAGCTGCCTCCTCATTCAAAGCCTGTCCTGAGCTTTTACACGCCTGAAAGATGAGGTCAAATAGAACAAGTGTGATCACAAGGTCACAGGTTTGATTCCCCGGAGCTGCGAACGTGCTGCTTAGCGAGGTACCAAACTACCAGCCTGCTGAAATCCTCTCTAGATAACAGCAGATAAATAAACGCCTGCAGTGAAATGTAAACTTTTACGAGTGTTTTACATGCTTTAATGCTCTCAGAGAACTGGCAGTCTTCCACCATCAGTCAAATCTGCTCTCTCCTGCTCGCTCACTATCTGTAACTGAGAAAGATCAGTGAAACTGTGAGCTGGGAGGGGGGAGGCGTCAGCGGCCCCCCAGGGGAGAAAAAACGTTTTGAGAAGCAGCTGGAAAACGTCGGCAGGGAGCAGGAAAGAAAAATATTCTGGTCACGACTGGAAAGTAACTAAGTACTTGAACTTTCCTTCCCCGACAGTTCGGGGGGGAAATATTAGGCAATACTTTATTTTACGACTCCCACAGCTTCACAAAAAAAATAAAATCCTTAGAAGCAAATTACATGGAATCGCAATTTCTGATTAAGTTTCCTGGAAAACAATATTTAATTTGGTGCTAATTATAGGCAAAATGGAGACACTTTCAATTAATTAATTCCAATTAATTTCTAGCTTAGCCTAAGGAGTCTTCTACTGAGTGCAGCCAAATGTGTTGTTTTTCTATGACACTTCTCTTAAACTACAGACTCGTGGACGATATAATATCCTAAGTATGTATATTTATGATAACTACATTACAAATGATATATAGATATTTTTTTATCCTCCTATAGTGGCTCTCCTTTGCACTGGTATTAGTTTGATATTGCTCATATCGTGTGTTACGGGGTAAAGATATTAACACCATTTCTTATAATTGGTTATTAAACGAGCTCCATAACAAGCCGGTAATGTTAGTTTAAAAAGGTTTATTAGGTTGAGTAATAAGTCTGATAATAGAAAAAGATCTTGAAAACTTCTATTTTCTACATAACTGTAAACTTTTGGTTTTAGATATTTAATATATCAAGGGGTTGATCCAGATGTTCGATTTTGTTTTGTCTAGCTTGTCTTAACTAGCTCAACTCTTTTCAGTCTCACAGTGTTTTTCACTGTTTTCCCTTTCATTATATAGTATTAAAGTACACAAATCTTTCCCTAATAATGTACCTAAAAACCCCGCAGTACCTCTAAACTAAATAACTCCAAATGATTCTCCTCTTTCATTCAGCCAATAATACAACTGTCTGTGCAAGTGTGGGCGTCACTGAAGAGTCAGTGTTGCTATTGGAAGGTTAGAGCAAAATAAGGTGAGATATTTCTTTCAGTGTGTCTTATTATTTTATAATGCCAGGTCTTAATCTACCCACCATGCTTTGTGATCGACCACAGTTTGCATTCATTTTGGTCTATCAATCATTTCGCCAAAGGAGGCGTCACCCTGTTGAAACAGCAGATCAATACCGAGCGTCCAGCAGACAGCGTGAATGTTTTCGAGGCTGTGTGTGTGTGTGTCTCTTTGTGTATCAGCAGACACGTGCGAGTGTGCTAACTGCTTTCACGCACACAGCCTCTCTCTGCTGTGTTGTTACTGCCGGCGTGGGCGTCTTCCGCTGCCTAACAAAAGGAGAAAGTCAGAAGTAACTTCAGTTTTGGTCAAAAAATAAATTGTGTCGTTTCTTTGAGCTCGCAGAGTCAGAGGAGAACGCGGAGGAGGAGGAGGAGGGGGTGAAGTGGCTTCCCACTGAGCCAACAAATCTCAATTCACATTTTTCAAACATCTGATGAGCAGCAGACATCCTGAGCACACCCACTACAAAACATCACACAGCATGAGTCCCCTGAAATGTCCATCATTTCGCCATTAAATCAGGATGAATTCAAACAGCAGCGCTTACATGGCAACATAAAAACAAGGCGGATAGCAAATAGCAGATTATTAGTACTTGCTTCTGGCTATTTACAAGTTTTGTAACCCATTACATTCCCATAGCAGGTTTGGCAACCTGTGACACACATGCCAGCATGTAAAGCTACTTTCTGAGGCACCAGAGAAGGCAAATATGACATTATTGAAATATGTCACTACTTTGTTACATGTTAGATCAGTGTGGTCCTACAATTACTGCTAAGCCAGTGTTATGAATTACTGTTGACATTAATGACATGTGAAGGATCCTTGAGCAGCTGTGCAACAGCGCAGGTGCTGTAACCAGTAAAACCTGGCAAATAGGAGACCAATCCCACCAATGTGCATTAGGGCTGAATCACATTGATCACAATAAGAAGCTGTGACGAGTTCAATCTCAAAACGTTTTGCGCCAGTTTGCAGCGTTGCAAACGGTTGCAACGACATGTTTCCTTGCAACGTTGTGCAACAGGCTTCGTCACAGGTGTTACCCAATCAACTGCGACAAGTTTGTAAACACAACGGTGTTGAAAAGGCAGGAAAATGCAGTGCGCTTGCGTGCACAGCAGGGAGTTCGAGACACCACCGTTTCGATTGAAAAAAACGTTTTGTCTGCGCTGAACTCCAAGTACACCCAGAAGCCACCGCACACAAAACGTAATGACAATCATCTCGGCTCACGTACAGTATGGATCCTGATGTCCTGATATTAATCGCAATTTCGATTTGAAAACGATTAATCGTTCAGCCCTAATGTGCATGCGACATAGCGAGCAAATCTAGAGCTCAGGCCTTTTCAGCCCAGTCTGAAAAAGGAGTTCAGGTTTGTTGCAAGAGAAGACCGAACTGTATGTGCTGAGAAAATGTGGCGTGTCAAACATCAAACTAAGGAAGAGAAAAGAGTCAGATATAGCTGAGTCGACGGCAGTGTCAAAATATGCTTAACTAAACAGACACTTTAAAACACTTTGCACCTCTAAACACCAGGCTACATGTTGCAGTTTGAGTGCATTGCTAAACGTGGGAATCCACACACAAAGAAGGCTTTTCTCAACAGTGCAGAGGTTTTGTTTGACGGACTGCCTAATAAAGAAATCGAGGATTAAAGACTCGCCTCTGTGCGCGAGAACTGTTGAGAGGAACATTACTGAAACGGCAGAAAGTGTGCACGTCCAGCTAACAGTCGCGCTGACAAATGCACAGGTGTCGAGTGAAGCTGGGGGTGAAAATGGGAACGTTAATAACATCCCACGTCTCACAGCCGGCTGATTACAATCCATCCAGAGGCACGTGTGCAGCTGAAAGCGTCAACATACAGAGCACAGAAAGGCAGAGACACTAACTCCAAGATTACGTCTGACTACATGACAACATGGTGTTGTACGAACGTGTGAATGAGTAACTGAGAGAGGGGGTACAGCTCTGTTATAAACAAGGTCAAACCAATGATAGGGTAACTGACTTTCAGTGCAGTGGTTATTATTGTGAAAATACCCATCAAAGATCATTAAAACACCACACCTCATTACCTGCAAATGTACTCAACATGACAATTAGGGTTCTTAGAAATTGTTTTCCACCATCAACCTCTAACTTAACACAGAGAAATCAACGAATGGTTCTGACATTAAAAAGGTTTTGGTGTTTCTGCATCCTTAAATTTTTAATTATACAATAAAGCACAGTATATAATGTAAATGTAGCTTGTGCACTGTTTATAGGAGGAAGCTTCACACACCAGCACGTGAGTGGAAGATTATTTAGTCTTACCTTGTAGACCTGCCCATAGGTGCCATTTCCAACCAGTTCGACCAGCTCAAAGATACCAGCTGGGTCCTGAGAGGGAGGGATGAATGAGGAGGAGGAGAAAGCACAGGGACAAAAAGCAGAGTTAGTTAGGAGGACATAAACTGGACATAAGATGGATGTAGGAATTTGTGAGTGTGGAATTTGACCTTCACACACAGACACACACACATTGAAAGGTTGCCTGCATACCTGTGGTATTTCCCTGTAATATGAGGTTACCTAGGAAGCTACAGCCCTGGTTTCTCTCGAGTCTTACAGAAACCACCCCGTGTGCAAGTCCACACTCATGCAGATGAGCTGCAGTTTAACCAGCTTCTGTAACTCAATGCGATCTCTAAATCACTGCGTTTACATTCACTGAAACTCCCAAGTCGCAGTAATCTGAATTCTTAAACATGCTGTGAACAAAGGACCACTGACAGAAACCTGTTTGTGTCCCCAGGTTTCTGTGTGGTCATATGTATGACAAAGACTGCAGACTGGAAAACTGTTGCTCTGACAAGCAGACAAGTGAAAGGGAAAATTGTTTTACGTAGAGATGCTTCCTCGTATTCAAAATCAGTCCATGCAACATCCAATAAAAACTGAAACTGAACATAAGTAGGTTTGCAATGGTTGAGCTAAAACCTGCGACGTCTTGGGAGAAACTGTGTCGTTAAAGCAAAAGCTTGACATTTTGGGAAATATGCTTATTTGCTTTTTTTTTTTTTTTTACAGAGAGTTACATGAGAAGATCAACACCGCTAATGTAAATATGAAGCTACAGCTAGTAGCCAGTTAGCTGGCTTATCAGAAAGACTGGACACAGGCTAACCTCTAAAGCTCACACGTTAGCCTTTACATTTTTACTTTAGAGACATATTAAGCATTTAAAGTCCATTGTGTTTGTACAGATTAAACAAAGATATGATGTGTACTGTTTTATGTTTAGACAAAGCTAGGCTAGCTGTTTCCCCACGTTTCCAGTCTTTATGCTAAGCTAAGCTAACTGGCTGCTGGCCAGACATGAGAATCTTCACATCTAGTGTCAGTGTGAAAGAAAACATTTCTTTTAACAATATCACATGTGAAAACCATCCCTGTCTAGACGAAAAAAGCGACCGCATGCTGCTAAATAAAGTTTTGTTCCAGCTGTACTTTTAGTAATTTATGTTATTTACGAACGTCACTGTTTTTATCGAATAAAGGTTTTTTTCGCACCTCTGGAAAGAAAACATCAGCTGTTCTTTATACAAGATCAAATTACTGCCTTATCCTTTGTAGCGTTAAATCTCAGTAGGTAAACAATCACTAACATGCTGAAGTGTCAATAAAAAACTTCATTGTGTAAAATTGATTGAATGATTGTGTACCGACGTGGAGCCTCTGTGTCTGTATTGACACACTGGTTAAAACTTAAGTGTGTTGAGTTTCTTCACCTTAAAATCTCAGATTAACAGTAAAATGCCGAGTATGACGGGTGACAGTAACCGTGGAAATCCCCCACACAAGATAACTGTGGAGGAGGGAATTCAAACACTCACAAGATAATCTTATCTTCAGGCTGATTAAAATTCAATAAACCTCCTAAAACACATATCTTGATCTTTATGCATACCTGTGTGGGTGTGTGTTTGGTATTAGTGTGCATGCATGCATGTGTGTGTGAGAGAGAGAGAGCATACAGTAGGCCACAAGGGACCGTAAAGGACGATTACAGTGGAGCCTCCTGAAGAGGATTAGCTTTAAAAAGCTGCGTTCATTTTCACTCAAGGTCAAACAAACCCAGAAGACCAATGCCTCATCTGCACACACACTTACACACACACACACACACACCTGTACACGCCTGTTACAGACTTTACTAACTGTCGGACCACACAACGGAAAAACAACAGCCAAGAGCAAAGGGAGATCCAAGGAGCTGATGCAGAATTTAAGGCCCACCTGAAACTTACTGGCGGCCTGTGAGATTTCCCCTTGATAAACACCTGTACACAAGTTTGTACCTAATGAATAGGAGACGATGAGAACACTTTCAGAGCACAAAGCATAAAGAAAATGTAACGTACTAGTGCAGCTTTAAAGAAGAAACAATGCTGTCGGATGAGACGTTAAACCGAGACTCCTGACTCACTGTGGTCATTAAAGATCTCACGGCACTTGTCGCAAACAGTAGGGAGTTCCCCGGGTGTCATGGCAAAATTCCCAACCTGAGTTTTCACCATCTGGCCATCTAATCATCCCCCTCAGGCTGATGTGTGGGGAGCGTTCTGGCGCTAAATGGCTGCCGTGCATCACCCAGGTGGGTGCTACACATGGGCGGTGGTTGAGGCGAGTCCCCCCTACTTCACTGTGAAGCGCTTTGAGTGTAAAAGTTAATAAAGATTATTATTATTATTATTATTATTATTATTAATCAGACATGGACGTAGTTCATTGGGATTTACTGTTTTAAGGCTGCTTTTTAGTGCTGGTGTTGTCTTAACAATGAAATGTGCATTTTAAGACTGAAGTTGTTCCCCTGAGAGGCAGCGAGAACATCAGCACTGCAGAGAACAGCCTGTCTACCGATCTGCCACCTGGCCAATTTCTGGTCATTCCTGCTGGTTTCACACATTACTCGCTTACTTAATCATAACTAATACTGCTTGAACAGACAGGTCAAGTCCTCCAAGCTCAATGACACAGCAGGTAGTTGAGAATGCATCTCACACCGCGGCCATTTAGTAGCTGTACTTGAGCTCTCTGTCAAAAGGAAGCAGCAACTTCACACCTTTGCTTCTGACAGACAAGAATCATAAATCACTCTGCCCACGTCAGGCAATCCACGCCGAAGGTCGTTTTACAAACCACCGACGCTGTTGTTTATCTGGTGACAACGGCAAGCAGTCAACAAGTTTCATTGTACTGGTTTGGACGAGAAAATTAAAGTAAATGTTAAAATAATTATTTGTGATTCATCTTTGAGCTACAGCAGTTGTTTTGGAAAGCAGTGGATCATTCTGGCAGAGTCATGCTAGACAAGAACTAGTTCTTACGACATGTTTGACATTTCCACATCAGCAGTTTGGATGATTTTATCCACTGGTTTGTTTACGACCTGTCTTGATTGTCTCGCCGCTTGTGTTCCTGACTTGTTGTTCTAGAGATGTTGTCACATCTCAGCAGTGGAGCTGTAACTCCAAAAATAGAAATCAAGACCCGGCTGTGAGTCTTCCTTTAGCAGAGCGCTAAAAAGCCCTCGTTTTCCCTCCTACCCGAAGTGCATTTTGTTTGAATAATGGGAAAGGACATTTGGTAACTAAGAATCCAGCAGACATGACCTTTGTGTAGCTCTAAGACTCCAACAGCTTTTAATACGGTCCCTGACCAGAGCTGTCAGAGGAACATAACCTCCGCCTGTGTGAACAGAGTCAGTCTGTGTGGAGGACGAAGACTTTCGTCTCTAATGGGAGATCCAGAGAGAAGAAGAGGAGGTGGGGAGGTAAATAAGGAAGGTGAAGATGGGTCAAACTACACGAGGGGATGATCAGAGGAGGATTTGGGATTCGACACGCTGCAGAAACAGGAAGTGTGTGTCTGCTTGCGACAGGCTTTACGTCACACTGAAATGTTTCCCCCCAGCTCCGTCCTGGGTGACCTAATTTCTGGTCCACTGAGGGAGAGAGCAAGGATTCTCGTTTTTACAAGAACACGTACATCTATTCTCATCCTTCTGTCTGTCACACACACACACGTTCAGTCCCACCCGGTCAATCATGTCCAGACTTGATTGTTGCTCTGCAGGTACAACTGTGTTGCATAAGCAGCAGGCGAAAAGGTGGGGAACAGAAAGAGGGGCTGTGCATAATCACACACACTCACATGCACACACACACTCACATGCACACACACACTCACATGCACACACACACACTCACATGCGCACACACACACACACACTCACACTCACATGCACAGTAGTATTGAGTTATGTAGATCATTTTGAGCTGAGCAGTTAAATCCAAATTTGTAAGTTTACATTTATCTGAATGTGTCATCACTGTCCCTCACACACACACACACACACACACACACACACACACACACATTCCGCCACTGTCTCCTTCTGCACAGCTCATTTCCTCGCGGGCGCGCACGCGCACATACCCACAAACAGCCCCAGCGATGCAATGCTGCTGTCGCCACAACATCACGAAATGGCGGAACTCGCTCCTGTTGCGGTTATCATCGCTTTTTTTCACGGTGTGTGTTTGTATGTGTGAGTGAGGGAGTGCGCGCGTGCGTGTGTGCATGCATCGGAAGCCTGATTATCTGTGTGCCTTTCACTTTGTGTGTGTGTGCGTGTGTTGTGCACCTGTCAGTGTGCAGGCAGCTTAACATCTGCCCCACATAACACAGACAGAGCGGCCTCTATCATGCTGTCTGACGCACGCGCACGATGGCGGGTGCACGCGCGGCAGCAGCAGCTCAGGGCCTCATTACATCACGTCCCAATTGTTAAGAAAAAAACTCCAACAACAAATAATAACATGAGTGTCGGTGGGAGGCTACATGATCCCTCACTCAAGCCTGATTTCCTCAATCACTGGCCGCCGTGCACGAGCACTACAGCCCCCCACACACATACAGGCTATAGTACGTGCATGCGCACGCACACCACCAGGCGGGCGGCAGCAAAGCCAGTGGAAGGCGCAGGGAGACGCATCCATGCGCTGTGGAGAGGAGGGTGAGGATGGGGAGTAGAGGGGATGAAAGAAGGAGGAGGGGGGGGTGGACAGGTGCTCAACAGCCTCACACGCACGCGCACACATAAACACAGACTCCACACGCACGTGCACACACAGAGAGAGAAATTTACCCGTAGTGCAGACAGGTCTATCTCGTCCAGACTCCGCGCTGGGGAGTCGCTCGCCATGGTTCTCTCGGTATTTACGGGACTCAAGATGGAAGCTTCCTCAACGACCATCGACCGAGAGGTGCAGAGCGGCGGGGATGAACACACACAGACACTCCTCTAAAATAAATAAATCCCCCCACCCACCCCAAAAAAATCCCCCAAAATCCTTATGCAGGCTTTGCTTTCCCGGGTGGAGAAATGACCGCTCCGGGAGGGACAGAAGACGGAGGAGGAGCGCAGGAGGGAGGCGATGAGCGCGGAGCTCCAGGTGCTACATGCTGCTCGGCGTGGTGAATCCGGTCAATCTGGTACCTCGATCCCCAATCTGGACGGGAGCGGGGAGGTCTCGGGGTGACACACAGAGAGAGAGAGAGAGAGAGAGAGAAAGGCAGAGCACAGCAGCCGAGGCGCACTGATCACACTCCGTCTGTCCGTCCGTCGGTGTGGCGGCGCAGAAACGCGCTTCCCGGGAGTGGCCTGCGAGGAGGCTGCGCTACACACAGAGACGCCCACAATGTCACACACACACGCACACACACATACACACACCTTCAGGGTGAAAAGGCAAATTCACACAGCTGTCTCTTCCTGTATGGCAGCTTATTAAGGACAAAACTAAGTGACAATCAATCAGGATTCTTGGCTGCAGGTCACATAACCTCAAGCATTAACGGTGAGACCCGAGAGGGGAGGGACGCTGCCCTTTCTTGTGGAAATGGCCTTTAAAAAACCCCCATGAGACATTTTAAGGCTTCATTTATGTCTTAATGTCACATCAGAAAGACACATGCAGCAACAGTAGTGCCCTCTGTCCTGTCTAGCCCCAGCTTGTGTCTCTCACATATTCCAGTTCCTAAAAATACAGAAACACAGACATGGTTGTTCAACTAAACTAACTGCTGTTCTCAAGGTATTTCCAGGATCCTCAAAGACTCTTCAAACCATCTGGATGAAAAATATTCCATCTGCTGCCTGATAAAAATATCTCTGTACTGTGTTTTGCTCTTTTTGTAAAGCAAAATATGAAAGTGTTATTTTTAGATGGGTAAAAGAGTCTCTGAGGAGTCTGGAAATACCTTCAGAACGGTGGCCAGTGTCATTAAACTATATACTCAGTTTTTCAGATCACCAGGTTTTTATTTCCCCCCAAAATCTGGTGCTTCGCTCTGAGACTCGAGGTGCAAACTGGGGCTATGCTCAGCCCTTTTAATGCATCCACACCCCAACAACCACACAGAAAAGATCTTTTCTTCTCTCGAGGAGAAGAAAGTTCAACTGCAGAACTTTTCCAAGAACTATACGTGCATTTCAACCCGTGTAACGTCAGCCCTGTGCCCCGGGCTGCCTGCATGTCGAGGATTCAGAGCGTGCAGGGACAGATTTGTAAACACTGAAACCACAGTGGTGATTTCACAAGCCGGGCAGTCACTGTTCCGAAGCTTCTGACTCACCTGCGGGACACACCCACGATCGTGTCTGTGATCACAGACTGAAATCTGTTGACAAATGAACAATAGTTAGAGCAAAATGCACACAAGACACTTCAGTGCATTGTTGCTTTAATGCCATGGCTGCTTTCAAAAACATAAAAGTAAAAGGTAGCTGTGTTTAAATCACCTGTGTTTGTGAACTCCTGTGAGGGAAAAGGAGGAAAAACACACAAAAAAAAAATGAAATCAGAAATGCGTTTTTGTTAAATAACACATGGTATCGATTATATTTTATAAAATAATAATTTGTCTAAGACATAGTTCTGTGCAGAAGTTTTAGGCAGGCGTGGGTAAAGTAAGAATGATTTGTTAAGAGGTTATAATTAATAATTAACAACCTGCGTGAACAAAGAAAGAAATCTAAATCAAATCAAGATTTAACCACTCTTCAAAACAGCGTCAGTTCTTCTAGGTAGACATACTTTCTGAATGAACACAGCAGGTTTGTAGGTTGGTGGAAACATCTTGCAGAATTACACTGATCGTGTTGAACTGGTGATCATTAGCACCTAATTGTTAAGCCATATAACTGGCGACATCCCGCTAAGATCCCTGACTTTGTGCAAGTGTACCTCGAAGAACTGATGCTGTTTTTGAAGGCAAAGGGTGGTCGCACCAATAATCCATCAACATGTAATTCAGATTCTGATAAACCTTGTCTAATCACACAACTCTTCCTAAGAACTCAAATCATCCTCGCTCACTTTTCTGCCCCTGCACGCTCGAGTCTCGACATACTGTTCATCTGAATCACGAAACCTGTTAGTGGGAAAACAAAATGTAATTTGGCTTAAAGCAAATCACACTAAATGATGTGTTTTAAGATGAATACAGCTATTAATATAATGTGTTTCTATGGTTTTTGTGTGTGTGTGTTTGTGTGTGGGTGAGGTCATGCGTCTCTCCTGTAGGTATACAGACAGTTTAGTTCTCAGGACACACCTTAATCAGTGATGCCATGCCAAGGCAGGTATTTCCCACACAAAATCACTACCTCTGATTGAAAACATCAGTCTCTCCAAATTGAACGTTATAAGCATCACTAAGCTCTTATAGTGTTGGATTACATTACACTGCAGGTGTTCATGCTAATGTGTCCGTATCCCTGTGTGCCACGTTTGGGGTTCATGTCATTCATTTGTAAGCAGTCGTGCAAAATTAAACGTCAAGGATGAAAGTGACATGAGAGAATTAAAGATATATATACTACATTGCAGAAAAGTATGTGGACACCCAAACATCACACCCTTATGTGATGTTCATACGTGTGATTCTGTCACCTTGTTCATTAACCTGCTGCTCTTGCATCGTCCACTCTTCTGGTTTCTGCTGCAGGGATTTGATCCCATTCAGACACCAGAGCATCAGCGAGGTCTAACACTGATGTTGGTGATGAGGTCTGTGTTCCAGTTCATCCCAAAGGTGCTGGATGGGGTTGAGTTCAGGGGCTGGGTGCAGACCGGTCAAGTTGTTCCACACCAAACTGGGAAAAAAAACATTTACATTTACGGAGCTGGCTTTGTGCACGTCTAAAATATCAGGTTTCCCTTCCTTGGACCCAAGGAGGCCTAAACAAAACAGGGGAAAACATGGATATGAACAGGGATCTTCGTAAACCTTTGGCAGTGTAAGATTCAGATTGTGTTTCTGTGGCTCCATCTAGTGGCACAAACGAGAACTGCAGGAAGGAGGACTTTAGGACAGCTGAGGTTTTCTGAGGACAAAGTTGTTTTTTTCCATTTTCATCAGTGGCATGTTTTTCCTCTTAGCGACAGGATGATGAAACCTGCGCAAAGACGGATGGAGACCAGAGAGAAAAATATTCAGTGATCATAGAGGAGGAAGGAGGATGATGGCACATTCAGACTGATAAGTTGTGTTTCTTTCACTGAAATATTCCTCTGGTGACTTTGATCTCGTTCTGGATCTGAGGCATTTGCAATTATACAAATTATTACAAAGATACTATACATATAAAAGGTGCCCAGTTTACTTGTTGAACAGCGAATATAGGAGGGTCCCTGGTTTGAGCCTCCAGACGATCCAGTGCTAATCCACCCAGGTGGACCATGTGGGGATCAATGAACTTAAAAGCAGACGTCTACTTCTGCAGTAGCAGCCAGTATCCCAGTTGTGCTCATGCACAAGAATATGGAAGTTCAATGTTGACAAAATGCAGTTCCAAAGGAAATGGCTGTCTGACCGCAAGGTAAGGCACTGAAAATATTCTTATATGTACAGCCCTAGTATATACACTGCTCAAAAACATAAAGGGAACACTAAAATAACACATCCTAGATCTGAATGAGTGAAATAATCTCATTAAATACTCCTTTCTTTACATAGTTGAATGTGCTGACAACAGAATCACACAAAAATTATCAATGGAAATCAAATTTTATCAACCCATGGAGGTCTGGATTTGGAGTCACACTCAAAATCAAAGTGGAAAAACAGACTACAGGCCGATCCAACTTTGATGTAATGTCCTTAAAACAAGTCAGAATGAGGCTCAGTAGTGTGTGTGGCCTCCACGTGCCTGTATGACCTCCCTACAACGCCTGGGCTCCTGATGAGGTGGCGGATGGTCTCCTGAGGGATCTCCTCCAAAGACCTGGACTAAAGCATCCGCCAACTCCTGGACAGTCTGTGGTGCAACGTGGCGTTGGTGGATGGAGCGAGACATGATGTCCCAGATGTGCTCAATTGGATTCAGGTCTGGGGAACGGGCGGGCCGGTCCATAGCATCAATGCCTTCCTCTTGCAGGAACTGCTGACACACTCCAGCCACATGAGGCCTAGCATTGTGTTGCATTAGGAGGAACCCAGGGCCGACCGCACCAGCATATGTTCTCACAAGGGGTCTGAGGATCTCATCTTGGTACCTAATGGCAGTCAGGCTACCTCTGGCGAGCACATGGAGGGCTGTGCGGCCCCACAAAGAAATGCTACCCCACACCATTACTGACCCACCGCCAAACCGGTCACGCTGGAGGATGTTGCAGGCAGCAGAACGTTCTCCACGGCGTCTCCAGACTCTGACGTCTGTCACATGTGCTCAGTGTGAACCTGCTTTCATCTGTGAAGAGCACAGGGCGCCAGTGGCGAATTTGCCAATCTTGGTGTTCTCTGGTGTTTGGGCTGTAAGCACAACCCCCACCTGTGGACGTCGGGCCCTCATACCACCCTCATGGAGTCTGTTTCTGACCGTTTGAGCAGACACATGCACATTTGTGGCCTGCTGGAGGTCATTTTGCAGGGCTCTGGCAGTGCTCCTCCTGCTCCTCCTTGTACAAAGGCGGAGGTAGCGGTCCTGCTGCTGAGTTGTTGCCCTCCTACGGCCTCCTCCACGTCTCCTGATGTACTGGCCTGTCTCCTGGTAGCGCCTCCACGCTCTGGACACTAAGCTGACAGACACAGCAAACCTTCTTGCCACAGCTCGCATTGATGTGCCATCCTGGATGAGCTGCACTACCTGAGCCACTTGTGTGGGTTGTAGACTCCGTCTTCATGCTACCACTAGAGTGAAAGCACCGCCAGCATTCAAAAGTGACCAAAACATCAGCCAGGAAGCACAGGAACTGAGAAGTGGTCTGTGGTCACCACCTGCAGAACCACTCCTTTATTGGGGGGGGTCTTGCAAATTGCCTATAATTTCCACCTGTTGTCTTTTCCATTTGCACAACAGCATGTGAAATTGATTGTCAGTCAGTGTTGGTTCCTAAGTGGACAGTTTGATTTCACAGGAGTGTGACTGACTTGGAGTTACATTGTGTTGTTTAAGTGTTCCCTTTATTTTTTTGAGCAGTGTACATATAGAGAGATGTTGTTTTGCCTCTGTGCTGGTGCTCTTTGCAGGGATGCCTCGCACAACATTACTGGTTAGGTCACATTGCTGGTGCTTGAAATGTATTATTTTAGCAAAATAAAAGTTACAAGGTGTTTTTTCCCCCCACTAGATTTTCAACAACTCTGCCTTTGATTGGCTAGCACTTGTTGCATCTGTTTGTTAGGTTGGTTAAGGTTAGGATTAGCCAATCAGAGGCACAGTAGAAGGCAGAACTTAACAACACTGTCCAATGTCAAAGCCTTTTGCACCGGTTTGCTATGGTTTTTGGTAGAATGACATGTTTCCTTGAAATGGAGGTGTTAGCAAATCAGCAGCAGTGTGTATAAACTCTGTCATGTTATTATTATTTAAAGCATCTTTAAAATCCTTCGGACGGCGTTAAGTTGTTTGTACAAAAAGTGGGACAATCCTGCGTCATGCTGTGCTTTCTGCAGTAGGAGTCACACCATTTAAAAACCCCACTGTGAGGAGCTTTATCTTTGGTGACCGACTTACTCAGCTCAGCAGAAACTATATAGAAATATTTTAACCCTGTTGACGATTAATGTATTTTTCAGATTTGCTTATCCAATTCTTATCTTTTGATTCTGTTTGTGTTTCTGTATCTGGAACTGGAAATTACCATGAATAAAAATCAACCAAAAGCAGCACAATCGCCCATCTGATTAAAAATAGAGACTGTGTGAATGAGCTGAATGTTTAAACTTAAAAACCCTAAATATAAGGAGGAATGATTTAACTTTGTAAGTCTGTACATTTATTAATTATTTTATGATCTTTATAAGTTTTTCTTTATAACTTTCTTCATCCTCTGCTTATAAACTCAACAAACTAATTTCTAATTTCCTAAATTAAAGCCTCTGATTTCTCACTATTCAATTCCAGATTACATCATTTTGATTACAGGAAATTACGGCCCTGTAAAATAAAGTGTTGCCTTTTTATTTTCCAACAAGAAGGTCTAAACGCTGTTGCAAAGCCCTCTTCTCTTCTGGTGGTGAAATACTTAATAATTGATTTGGTTAGCCTAAAATAAGTCACATTAAAAAATACTGGGTCTAAAAATACTGCCTAAAACTGTGCTTTGGATTATGCTGCTGAAACAAAATACTGAAAGACACAGCGTGCTGATATCAAATCATATGTATTCTATTCATAAGGTGTATCACATTAATGATAATTCTTATTATTACGCTGACATAACCATAAAGATATTTAATGTCTGCAAAAGTCCTGATTAACTCTTTGTCAGATATAAATGAGACGTTCTGAGTGAAAAGCTGAAGGTAAAGTCATGAAGATCGTTTTTAATGCCATATCAATACATAATTTATTTAGTCCATCATTTCACAAAGCGACACATGACGTGGTACTGCAGATCATTTAAGGGGTCGCCACAAGAAAACAACAGTCTGTGCAAATAGTGCATTTTCATAGAGACACGTGTGACTGAAGCCAGACAGCGAAAAGACAGGACAGGTGAGAGGAACAATGAGGCCACCGTTGGAAGGTTTGAAGGCTCATTTACACCTGGAATGAATCCATGTGCACTGCATGTCTGTTCCCACTAGAAACAGTAGCTTTGAAACAATATCTGTATCCACGTTTGGTTTACAGTCAGTTATTCTGGTTTCATGGAAGATATTTTCAAACCATTTCCACCCAAATCGACTTCTTTGCTGATGAACTCATCTCTCTCTAAGGAGACTTCAGTTTTTTAAAATCTCTTTATAGTTGTATTTATTTATTTATTTTTAGATGTAAACAGGCTGGGATTGCACGTAAGAGCTCACTACAATGTTTTATTTACCTTTTCAGACTACAGTACTTCACCTGGTTAAATCTGGGGGAAGCTGCATCCTGATTTTTTTCTTTTTGTCTAAATCTGAATTCATCACAAACATGCACTGGAGCAGGAGGTAGAAACACAGGGAGGTAGAGAGAAAGAATGAAAAGAAGAGCACATGTAAAGATCCCATCTTCCATAAATAACAGCAACAGAGAGACATTTCAGGTGCAGACCCACAACGTGCAGACAGGCACACTGTTTAGCATCAATAACGTCGATGGCTTTAAAGGCGACCCTTCAGCGTGCACGTTTCATGCTTTTCATCTGTAAGGTTTAATGGCAACGAGCTGCTGTCATGCGGTCAGCTACGCCTTCGGTCTTGTTTTTTTTCCCCTCTCGGTAACATTTATAGCACAAAAACAGCATCATGCAGTTCACTTACAGTCGAACGAGGAAGACACTGAGGAACATTGATGCTGCGTTCCAGAAATGTTGGAAAGTTGGAAATCAATGGAGTTTACAACATGAAGGCTACACAGAGCACGGCTTCTAACGATTCAGTAACTGGTATACTTTAGCACGACAAAATCTTAAAGCTGCACTCCTCAGTATCTTAAACCGGCCAATAGAAACCAACAGGAAACACAAATGTGATGTTTCATCATCTTTTGCGTTGATATGCTTATTTACTCATCTAGCAGATACAGAGCGACATTAGCACTCATCTTGCGAATCGAAGTCCACTATATATTCTCCATTTTTGAAAACGATAGCCAATAAACCAAATGTAATATGAAAGGTGCTGCTCAAAGTGATTATCCCACAGAGAATTATCACAAACTCTGCAGCACTACTGAGCTTTTTAAGCATCTTATAGCTCCTAGCTTTGGCCCAGTCTCAGTGCTTTCATCAGCGTTGTTTCCAGATGTAGCAAGCAGCTGTTTTGAGAGCTGTTAAACCTGCTGTGCACTACCTGCTCATCAGCAAGTATTTAGCATCTATGGGCCAGATATTTCCCTCAGGAGGTGGTGGAGACCAAAACCAGAGCTAAAAGCCAGAGAATATTGGACTTACACGCATCAGACGGACACGAACACGTCTCCACATGAATCTGCTTGATGTGCAAACAGTTTACAAACACATTCAACAACTTATGTGAAGCTTGCAGTTTGTTCTGTTGCCCCTAGTTAAACATTCAGGAGCTAAAGGTGTAATAAAATGTGCACGTACAACCTTAAATTTTGTCCAACACGCATTATATTGCCTGCTTATATAAAGTTGGATGTTGGTTAAGAATTTCCACCTTCTGACAGTGAATGAAACGCAGCATTGTAATAGACTTATCATGCATGAATCTGTGGGTTATGTAGTTAAAATAACAACAACAGTAAGGCTTTATTCGAGTCCCTAATTTCTTGGCAGTTTCCTGGGAAGAATAATTACTTGTACACAATATCAGTTATTTATCCTGAATAACTACTAACTAGACTGTTTTTTGTCTACAGGCAAACTATTAAAATAAGTTTCCCACAATAAATGGCTAACAAACTAATATTTACTGTAATTAATACCAAATTATAGTATTTTTTTTCCTCCAGAAAACATCCCAGGAAATGATTAGGAAATCCTGTGAAATAAAGTGTTACCGAAAGGAACTACAAAGACGATGTCGGAGCATAAAAACAGGTCACTTAAGGCTTAATGTAGAATCCACAGTATGAGGAATGTGAATGAATGTATGTACTCTTTTAACATCAGGCTAACGCCCGTCATCTTTGGCACTTGTGAGTTCCTGTTTGACATAAATATTGAAAGCAGGGTTTCAGAGATATGAGACACAGTTTTTAGAAAACGCCATCCAGCTCTTCATCCCCTCCTCTTCATCCCCTGCTGTCTTCATTAAAGTGTCCTTTAGTGTCTTTACAAAACCGTCCTCTCTCAACACAGAAGAGTCAGAGCTGCGTTCGCCGGCCCTGAACGTTGCATAGTGTTGTTACTAAATGAAGAAGCAAGCCGTTTGAAAAGAGGCGATAACAGAGTAATAGTTTGGTGGCGAGAGGCCAGGAGGAGGCGTGTCAGAACTCAGAGTTGATCACTTCCTTTTATTCCTTGTAAACACGAGGCCCGAGTTGTCAGGCACTGAAGAGTTCAACGCGCCGTCGGCTTCTCTTCATGTTTGTTTTGTACATCTCACTTCCGAGAGTCCATGTTAAACCAAAGACACTGTGTCTGTGATATTTAAGCGCGTGTAATGTCTTTCATGTGCATTCAGTGGCACTGCTGCTGGTACAGAGGCAGCTGATGCCATTTTGGAAGTCATTTTGGCTGCTAATTCAGTCAGGAAACATTAAACCGTCTCTTATTCTCTGCTCCTAAATAATGAGAACGTTTTCAGCTCTGGTTTCAGTCTTACAGGATGAGCTTCCTCTCAGGCTGCAGCTAAACCCAATTTTCCCTAGGATTAGCAGCTGTGACCTCAAAAATTATGTTAATGGAAAACTACTGTTTATTAATATTGGTCCCTTTGGGTTGAACCCTTGGTTTGTGGCTACAAACCTGCTTGAAAAATAGGTGCAACAGGAAAAGAAAACTGAAGTCAAACTGAAAGTGAGTGCACAGCTTCAGTAAGTACAGAAGGTCAAAGTTGTACTGCAATATGTGTCTGATATTCTGGGTAAAAGTTTGTTTTTTTGGTTTAATTCTGAGGTTTGTCATCATCTTGCTTGTGTTTGATGCCCAGATCAACAAAGTTGGTAACTACAACATTATTATAACTGAAAGAGCCAACGGTCGTGCTCCAATTTTAGTTTTCCTTTAAGAATCAGGGGTTGCCAACTGCTTTTGCACTGTGGACCATTTTTATGTTGCGACCAAAATAAAAGTGAGGCTATAAATAGGTCACACATTTGCATATTATAACCAAACATTTGTTCTCTCCTGCCTGCTCCAAAGGAACTCCGCTCTCTAGAGTTCTTGTTTATTTATTTCAGACCAGTATGATGAAGCAGTGAGCGTGTCGGCGACTGATGAGGGAAGTTCAGAGGTTTTCACTGCAGAAACACTCCAGTTGTAATTATTATTCCTTTTTTGTGGCCATTATCACAGTGTATCCTCGCAGCCCCGCACCAAATGTTTGATAGGCCAGTACAGGTCCACTGACCAGGGGTTGAGAACCACTTTAGTACACAGCTAAAGTAAAAACCTTTTTAGTGACTACAAGTCCTACAATAGATATTATCAGATACTACTGTTTGTTGTTTTTGTTACCTTTAAAAATAATTTAAAGGAATTAAAAAAACAAATAAACAAACAAAAAACCACAGTACCGGATTTTTTTGCCATGATTTTAAAAAGGCTGTGCAGCCAGTTTTCAGCCAACAGGACTTCCAAAATGACACCAGAGTGGGTTTTATCCACCTGTACGCCCTCCATATGCTGTGCATGAACACATGAATGCACAGGGGAGTCCCTCTGTCTCAGGTCCAGACCTCCATGGGCACCATGGCCTCCTTGGAGCCGATGGGAGGAAGCAGGTTCTGATCGGCCAGGAACTGAAGAGGAAACTGGACCACGAAGCCGCGGATTTTCTTCAGCTCCTCGCGAGCCCGGGCCGGGTCCTCCTTGTCCAGGCCCAACTTGGCCAGGTAGCCCTCCAGCTCCAGGATGTTACGGACATCGCTGGACGGCAGACAACGGAAAACCTGAAGAAAAGAGGGGGGGACAAGTCAGAGAGGGGACCAGGGTTTGGTATCGAGAACTAGTTCCCAGTTTCAATAACATAATCACAATTGTTTTTTCCAATTCTCTTGATCACAACGTACAAATGTTAAACCTGCTTTGAGTTTCCATCCGTGTCACTATTGTTCATGCGTCACTGAACAAGTACTGTAGAGTTTACAATGAGTCATTCTCAGTGACGGACAGCTAATCGAAGCTGCGGTCCAGACCTCAGTACCGCCCAGGTCTGTTTTCATTATTGATTCATCTGTCCGTACCGAAAGTTAACATCTTCAAAATGACAGTTTGAAACCCAAAGATATTCAACTTACAATTATCTAAAACAGAGAAGACACCAAAAGTCCCAATAAAGAATCTGGAAACATCTAGTGTTTGGATTTCTTGGTTTTTGAACTACTTTACATATTATATTGAACTACAATTAATGTCATTTCCGCTCTGCTATTTGCCTGGCAGGAGTAATAAATGGCACAACATTGTATTAAATTATTTCCGTTTGCTGCACATAATCAGTTTTATTCTTTTATTGCTCTTGGCCAATAAAGATGACTAGTTACTGGAACAAAATCTTTCACAATACCAACAAACATCAACACATTTTGCCTCATTTTAAACACTATTGATGTTTCATGATTTGATAGTTGTGGCACGAAATAATGTTTTTTTTTTATAATAATAAAACTAATAAAAGCCTGATGTAAAACTGGGCAGAACCCTTAAATCCAGCCACGACAACAGAAGAAGAATCAGCCTTTGTTTTGCAAACTGTGTATGAGACGTAATATCAGACTCACCTTCTGGTAAATGGTGGCGTTGCGAGCGCAGGTGGACATCCAGACGTCCTTGTAGAACTGGTCGCTGATGGGATCCGACACGTCGATGGAGGGATCTGTGTGAGCGCCCAAAATGGTCCTGAGAGAGGATCAGAAAGCAGGAGGCTGGTGAGAGACACGAAAGGCTCCACAAAGCTAAAAACACGATGAAACGTACACTGTTATCTAAAGGTTACCTCAATTTATGTAACAACCACAAGAGAAGAGGTGTCTTTTCATTTAAAAAGTGGTAAAACCAACTATGACCTCACAAAAAAGTGACACAGAGGCACAATTTCTGTGGCCCTGATAGTTTTATTACCGCTAAAATGCATCACTTGACTTGCTTGGTAAAATTAGATTCACACTGAGCAAAATTATAAACGCAACACTTTAGTTTTTACCTCCATTCATCATGAGCTGAACTGAAAGATGTAAGACTTTCTCTAGTCATGTACACAAAAGGCCTATTTCTCTCAAATATTGTTCACAAATCTGTAAAAATCTGTGTTAGTGAGCACTTCTCCTTTGCCGAGATAATCCATCCACCTCACAGGTGTGGCATCTCAAGATGCTGATCAGAGAGCATGGGTATCGCACAGGTGTGCCTTAGGCTGGCCACAATAAAAGGCCTTAGGCTGGCCACAATAAAAGGCCACTCTTTGTGTTCAGCTCATGATGAATGGGGGCAAAAACAAAAGTGTTGCGTTTATAATTTTGTTCAGTGTATATTTAGCTCCACTGTGTTTAAAATTAAAAATCATGATTTAAAGACATTTGATTTAAATGTAAATAAATATGCAACCAAAATAAAAAGCATTCTTACTAAAAATTACTCAAATAAAAACATCACGGCTGCATGAAAATAAAAAATTTACATATATAAATATTGATAAATGGGATTTAGGATGTTTCTGTACTTGAAGCACTCGAGTCGGAGCTGCAGGGCGAATTTTCCAGCTTGGTACTCCTGCCCGTCCATCACCGCCGTCACCGTCTCGGAGTCCTCCACGATCACCGCCACCTCGCTGTCCCTCTTTCCCAGCATGCTCCGGTCGTTGATGTTTGCAGAACCTGCAGCAACACAGACAAGACAAGTTAAATCACCACCAGCAGATGGCGCCGCAACACCTGATTTCAGACTGCATGTTCATTCGTCTTAAAAAGACAAAACACACCTTTGTGAAGGAAAATTTGGAAAGACATTATAGTACTGGTTAATGAGTTGAGACTGCAAAATAAAATTTAATATAAACCACATATACTCGTATGTAAAAATAGTTTATATTAATGTTGGACAAACCAAAACATCTGCAGAATTCTGTTTAATATAAACGAAAAACTTTAAATTAAGGTGTTAAGGTACATTTTAGAAGGTGTAGTTTGGATGTTTTTTGTTTGTTTTTATGTAATCTTACATTGTTTCTATTATTTTGTCCCTGCCTTGTACAGGTATCTGTACAGGTGGGTGTGGACAAAAACATATTTTACCGGTCACATTTTTCACCTCATTTGATCTCAATAGAAAAATCACACCTCATTTCACATTCATGTCACATTTGAAGACAGGGAAGTGAAACAATCACATCAAAACTCTTGGAGACAATTCTGAAGGTCGCAAGATGATTAATGGAATAGGAAATAGCAGACTTTCCTTTAAACTGAGTGTTTCACCTCTGTAGGTCTTGCGAAATAGAAAATCAATCATGGAAAAGTAGACACTCCTTTATTTAAAGTGGACCGGTCTAAAAAGGCTGTAATATACAGGCTCAAACAGTCTCTCTCTGCAGCTCCTGTTTCCACCTCCTCCATTATACATGTTCAGTCTAGTGTCACTGGAATATTTCATTACATCTGTCATCTTTTAACCTTGATGAAGAAAGTCAAGCTGCTGTATCAACATCAGCTGAACGTCTGGCATGATGGAAGCGTCTATTTACCGATTATGACGGTGTTGTCGTCAGCGATGAGCATCTTGCTGTGGACGTAGATGAGCTCGGTGACCAGCTTTCCCTCCAGCTCAGCATGAGTCCTCAAACCGGCGATGGAGATGTAGTTCATCCACTGGTCTCCCACTGGAAACAAGAAACAGACAGTCAGAGACAGACATCCGGGAAGAGATCAATCCCAGAACATGATTAACGACTGAGCTGATATTCATTTTGTACTAAAGCCCAGAACGCAAGAAGTCAAACTAACTATGCTTTAAGAAATACTGGGTATGTGATTTGACGTTAATAGAATGAAAAACGAGCAGTGTGATTAAAGGCATGTCTAAAAATACATCAAACCAGAATGCAGATGTGTGGTTTGGTTCTGCTGTGTTTTTTTTCTCTTGAGCTTTAATGACAGACTAAATGAAATGTTTCTTAAAAGGATCCCTACTGTATCTGCCCGCCCTGTGGATGAACATATGGACCCTTTATTTATCCAGCAGGACGGCTTTATTGAGCACAAACACTCCTAATTTCTTAATACATTCAATACTTCTCATAACACCACTTGTGTTTTTTAGTCAATTTCCTTTTGACAGATGTCAATCAAACAAAATGTGTAGAAATGTGGTTAATTTTTTAGTATGGATAACTGGACGTTAGTGGACATATTTATTCTTGCTAACTTGACCGTGTAGCCCAGCACAACATGTTAGGTTCTCCTGTCAGTGTTATTGAACAGACGCTGGTAAAGATCTGGAGTTCGTCTCCGGGCGCTGCACAGCGGCTGCCCACTGCTCCCTTGGGGGATGGGTTAAGTGCAGAGGATGAATTTCGCAACATGTATGAAACAACGCTAAAGGGTACCCAGGGTGTTAAAAAGCTAAGAGGTCTTGACCAGCGTCCATATGTAACAATTTGGGATGAGAATGTGTTGCTATGATGGTAAAAGTAAACGGTAGCACTTGTAGATAAACTATTGCTGTAGTATCAGGTATTGAATGTCGTAGTAATGGTAATTTACTGTGGTAGGAATTTAACACGAAGATGAAAAGCAGTGAAGTGTAACAACGCTCGACAGTGATGTCACGGTGTACTGACACACCCTGGAGTAAACCTATAAGTCATTGCAGCCACCTGAGGTCAGCAAAAACAAGTTGATCTTTGAGGTGATTTTTGCTTAAAAACGGAGTTAGAATATATACTAGAGCAGCAAACACACAACCAATGTGCCATCTCCTCTGGGCCGCCCACAGGAGGTTAAAGCTGGCATCGCCTCGGACTTACTCTCTCTCCTGAGCTGGGAGATGATGGAGTGGTCTCCTCTGTTCATGGTCCTGCAGGGAACGGAGGGACAGAGGTGGATGAGCAGCAGATCCACAGTCCTCACAACACAGGCCTTTGTGTGTCAGAGGAGGGTTTACTCCAAAATACAGGCTAGACAATAAATGTCGGCCTCAAAAACACACAGACACACACACACTCACCTGTAGTTGAAGTGCATGATGGCCTGGATGGCGCTGCCCCCTCCGGTGGTGATGTCTCCTTCAAAGCCTGGCAGCAGAGGCGTCACCACGTACACCCGGTACCTCGTTCCCTCCCTACAAAAAAACAAATAAAAACAAAGACAAAGAAAATAAGACACATTATTAAAACAATGACATGATTTATGTGTGAAACATTTATCTAACGGCTAAAGTGGTACTCCAAAACAGCCCAACACAGCATGGAGGACGGATGATGACTTAGATTACAAGAACAAATAACTTACACACTGTGTTCAAACAGTGTTGTTGAGGCTGGTTCACAAACACTAGCGACCGAACCTGAAACATCCCTGAGGACGGCTGTGAGCAAACAAACTTAGTTGTTTAGAAACACGCCCTCGTCTCGTCACATCTTTGGAGACAGAAAAGTGACATTTGGGAAACAGAAGACGAAGCTGAGAAAGGATAGATATAATCTCCTGTAGGCCTTCGTATAATTTCAATGAAAGAGTACTTACTAAGAGACAAAAATACAGTTAACTATCACAACAATTTAAGAGAATAACGTCCAGACATGAAGAGGGGACTAGTTACAATTTCTCAGTTGCAAGTAAGTGGAGCAGGATAATAAGGATCCCTTACAAAATTATAACCATGATATGTACTGAGCAGAACTTTTTACAGTCTATGTTCTCTAGTGGATAAACTACATGTTTCTAAATGACCTCAAACATTTTCGTCGTGCAGTTTCTTGTTAATGACAAATGGCTGCTGATGACGGCACCACTGCGTTTCGTTAGTCTGGCTCTGATCCTTCCTCTCTAAAGACTGTTTTATGAGGCAGTTTGGGAGGTGGATGCTTCAGTTCGTCCAAGCTGAGCATTAAATCATAATGACCTTCTAAATAACTGCCTACTTTAACAGGAGACAAGGAAAAGCATCTTGCAAATCACTGGAACGGAGTCCAGAGGGTCTAAAAGTGGCCTCAGTGGCTCCAGCTGATGGACACACAGCAAAATAAACTGGAGATGACACAACATAAATACCTCAAGTGCGTGGTAAGTTTGGGAAGTTTAACAGCGTGCAGCAAGATGTAGCACATTGTTTCTTTGCAGCCATCTGTTGGGGCAGCAGCATCAGAGCCCCTGACACCAAGAGGCCGAACAAGCTGCCTAACAGGGCTGGCTCTGTGCTGGGGTCCGCCTCGGAGCCTCGTGATTTGCAAGATGCTTTTTCCTGTCTCTTGGGTTTTAAAACTGTTAAAAGTAGACAGTTATTTAGAAGGATTTAAAACTCTGGAGCCTCTCTGAGTGGTTGTGGAGGGAAGGATGTTGCACAAGTGCTCAAAATTTCACAAAATACACTTCACATCCTCTGCATGGACGACAAGTCTAGATACAGATTTTAGTAACAGATCATAGACTGTGTGTTTTATTTGAACTTGAATTGCAATCTTTATTGATTAACTTTCATTTGTTTATTCCTTATTTATATATTTCTACATTTATTTATGTTTGTCTGAGTGCAGCACCTTATCACCAAAGCAAATTCCTCATTATGTGTAAAATACTACTTGGCAATAAAGCTCTTTCTGATTCTGATTACTTACTTAAGTATTTCTGCTTAGTTTTTTTTGTGCTGATTGTGCTGTAGGGGCATTTGGGACATTTTTGTGTTTCATTTGTATAAATGAGCAAGCCCCAAAAACTACAACTAACTGTCAAAGTCATACGTAAGTAGAAGTGAAATTAGCTTTAGCAGATTAGCATGCAGCAGATCCTGCTTCAGTACCGTCAGCACTGAACTGTGATGGCCGCTGTTTGGTCTTCATTCAAAAACACTCCCCTCAAGGACGTTTGTTTCAACACTTAACAATGTTTACCTTCAAATCAGCTTCCAACCAGACTGTGAGAAACAAGACAGACAGAACATTCATAAAAGCTGGCGGGTATGTGCGCAAGTGCCAGTTTGTGTTGGTGTGTTTTCCTGTGCTCTGCGCAGGATGTGTGTGCGCTCTGATAAGCTCCGATATTCCCGACACACACACAGAACCTAAAATAAAAGAAGTATTCACATAAATCCTCACGGAGGCCAAATCAAACACGACGTATGATATCGGTATATTAGGTATCTGGAAGATACACAGAGCAACAGGATCCCCTCCATCAACATTTACTGTGTGTGTTTCTCAGAAATAATAATAATAATCAGTCTGAGGGCACATACACAAAGACGATGTGTGTGTGTGTGTCTGCATGTTTTCTTGTAAATCATTTGATGGTAAGGCTAAACACACAGAGCAGCCAAACGTTTACAAAGTGTGAGTCATTTAATTTTATATTTGGTATAGTGTGTGTGTGTGTGTGTGTTTGTGTGTGTGTGTTACCTATATGCTTTGATAATGCGCTTGGCAATAGCGTCTCCTATCTTGTTGAAAACATGTTTGTTGTCAGCACAGCTGATGAAGAACTGATTCTGAAAGACAAACAAACAAAACACACGCCTATAAATGAACAAGAACCCTCATTTGTTCTGGTCTCAAGTCCGATTTATCTGCTGCGAAATAGGAAAATATGTTTCACATGTAAGTCTAAAATTAATTCTTCAAATTGTTTTTCTAAAAACGAAAAAATTTTACAGTTCAGACAAAGTGTCCGCTATTGAAATGTTCTCTGAAACAAGACTCAATATCTTGGAGCTAAGCAGACTTCTTCAGCTCTATTCAAGGAACAGTTTAACATTTTGGCAAATTTGCTTATTCGCTTTCATGCACAGAATTCATGCACCTGCAAATACATGCTATAATATCCTTCTTGGGGTTCATCAATGGTAATAAATGATTCAAAGTATATTTTATGAACATTTAGAGTCGTTGAGCAAAGCAAAGTGTCTGAAAAGGACCTTAAGAGGTGGATGCAGAAATCGGCAGGACAGATGTTGTAGGCTACCTGCCGAGTTTGCATTCACCTCTTCTCTCAGCACAAATTAGCGTTACCAGCTGCGAGGTGCATGAAATTCTCGGCAGAATTCGGCACAACACCGGGAGTTAGATGTGAAAACTGATACCAAACTTATCTTAGCATAAAGACTAGACATAGCTAGCCTGGTTCTGTCTAAAAGGGACAACATCCACCTACCAGCATCTCTGAAACTCACTAATTAACACCTTATATTTCATTTGTTTAACTGTCTACAGAGAGAGCTGGAGCGGAGTGAAAAGTGTTTTGCAGTGAAAAATTAGCTGCTTGCTCTCATTGGCTGGATGTGGATGTCGAGTCGGCCGGCTCCTCCTGGTACAAAAACCCTCCAGCTCTCTCTGTAGCTCAGACAATCCCTGCTACCTGCGTGTGCTAGTCCATCCTTTCACCCAGATTCTTTGTCTTTATAATTTCTATCAAGTCGCGTAGCCTGCACGAGACTTGACTTGCACTGAAGTAACCTGGTTGCTGTCAATCTTTGTAAACATGCAGCAGGTCAGTAATGAGTCTTAAGGTATTGAAAGAGAGTGCACAGCTTTCCCTCACAGCACTACGAGGACTACTGTCGTGTGGAAACTGACATTTTTAAAACTGGAGGGGCTACAAGTTACATATGTGCACGTAAACAGCTGTGACTTTGCAGTAAAAAGCTTTGCAGTAAAAAAGCTTTGCAGTAAAAAAAACAAAAGTGTCACAAAGTGCAAGATAATATATCTGCAGGGGTTGGCAAGTGTTTCGGATGAAAGCCAGTCACTCCCTCACAGGAAGCCAAGACTTCAAGATTCCTGAACAGGCAGAACACGTTTACTGAGAAACCTCCACGAAGTACCCACCCGTTCTGTGTGTTTACCGGGAAAGATTCACACTGCACAAAGCGGCTCTCTCAAAAAGCTGGAGTGAAGAGTGTTGCATCATCAGAGAGGGGAAGAGACTTAAAACACTTAAACAGAGTTGGAATAATATTTGTTTTACTGTTAACTCATTGTTACGGTTAGTTTCACGGTCTGTGTTTGTGCTTTGGTTACATGCAGTTTTACAAACCTTTTGCACTGGTTTCACACAGCGGTTCAACTGCTGGACCAGAACTCTGTCCTGATACACCTTTTTAACCTTTCAGCCGAAAGAAAGGGCGTATTTCCACGGCGGTGGTGAAACAGACTGAACGGAGTTGTCGACATGCTGCTTTTGGCCTCTGATGTACCTCAGATACGCACCTCTATGTAGATGAAGTGCTGGCTGTTCTCGATAGTGTGGACGTAGGCGCTGTGGATGGACTCCTCGTGGTATTTGATGCCGGCGGACCAGTCAGAGGCTGAGCGAAGGATCTGAGAGACGGGAGACGTGGGTCAGAGTTTGGGCGGGACGGCAGGAAAACGATTGCGTAAACAAAAGCTTTAACTTGCACTCTGCCAAGAGGATGTGTTCAAATGTTCAGTTTACTTTCATCATGGACTAAATGTGTGTGTTTGACCCTGTGACTCTGTGACGGTACTCAACTTATCTCAACACTGGGGAGGAAAATACTTTACTGTCCCAAATCCATTCAACATACTAAATGTATACAGTATGTACTAGATTTACTTTTTCTTCTTAGAAATTGATGAACAAGCCGAAATCAATCAAACTGCTTCTGAGGAAAACTTTTGTCTACTTATCTTAATAAAGCCTTCTCACCAATCTGTTTTTATTTTTTCCAGCCGTGAAAAGCTCCATGTCCTTTGTGCACACTCAGTGAAGCAGATTTAGTTTGTATACCGACATATTTAAGTGCACGTAATTATCCCATCTAACCTGTGTGAGCGTACTACATAATAAAACTTACAGGAATGAAACACAGCCGGAACGAGGTGCATGACTGTGGAGAGATGTCTAAACTTTAACTATGAGGAAATTAAATAAATACTGTGGCATCACCTGAAGTGGTTCAGGTGAGTGCAGCGGAAACTGGCAGACAGGCAACATTCAGGACCAACCTGCACTTTGGTGCGGACGCAGTTGGGGACTTGGTATTGCTGCTCTCCAGCGGTGGTGTGAGACTTGGGCAGCAGACACGGGTACGACAGAGAACCGTACTTCGGCTTCACAAGCTGGAGGAGAAAGAAAGGAGTTAAACGGAGGTCACATGCAGCTGCCCGAAGCTGCGGAGACGGACCCAGTCATGTTTCAGCTTCCCTCAGACCAAAGTGTCAAATGCTTATGTCAAGCGTCAACGCATTTAGTGAAGTGATCCCCATAAATCTAACTCAATCAATTCCCTGTCCAGTGGACGATAATCCCAGGGAAATTTTTATTTATTTAAATACGTCTTAATCTGCAACAGAAAGCAGCAACAGTGACCCTAATTTTTATTGAGAAGTGCTGATTAGTAACATTTTCTGTGGGGAGAAAGGGACGTTCAGGGACGTTAATCCCTTACTCAGTATGCTAGTACAACCGCAGCTTGACCTCTGACCTTGGTGAAGTTCCACCGCTGGATGAAGTGTCTGGCCACATCCCGAGCTGCTTTCCCATGAACCACTGAGGCGATGTCGTGCCAAGGCATCCTGGGAGTTGTGTGTCTGTCTATGAAATCTAAAAACAGCAGAAACAGGAAGATTCAATAAAGTCAAGTGTTTCGCACCAGCGTAGATTCTCTGGGAAAGCTTCACAGCGCGCTGACCGTCGAATGGCTTGTCCAGTTGAATCCAGTCCCTGTGCACGAAGTTGCAGTAGTCTTTTCCGTGCCAGAACCGCGTGTTTCCAAACAACTCTCCGACCCCCGTTTGCAGACTACGCACTGAGCCGCTTCCTAAAACACATACATAGAGAATTATTTTTAATCAAAACGCAATGAAACCACTACAAACCTTCTAAAGTAAAGTCGTCACTGCGGGAACTTTTCCAGGAACCTTTCAAGAACCCAACTACGAAACCTCCATTTGAACTACAGGAGCGTAGTCCAGGTTTTAGGTTCCTGCTGCTGAGGTGGGACTATCAAGAGTTCTCAGTGTCGTCGACTCATTAATGTCTTTTAATGATAGTTAAATTTTTGAAGTAATAGTTAAAAGAATAGCGAGAAAACACATTCGTTTACATACAACTACAGGATGGATGATCTCGGCAACTATAGTGAACTGTATGTCCAACAACCGTGTTTGCTGTAATGCCTAAAGCGTAAAGCGATACGTGCAGCATTTTAAAAACACATGAGCAAAATGCCACACACTGCTGGGGACATTTACCTTCAGGACAACCATTAACTGCTTCAGATGTTTCTGGTGCAGTTTTATTCTCTTCAATGGACAAGGAAAGGATAAGTCTCTATTCTTCTTATTCAACCAATCGCAAAACAAAAAGGCCAAAACAAGTCCTGATGTCTCCTCTTACTCTGAGCCAGAGACCTCCAATGTTGTCCAGAAACTATTTAAAACCCATCAGCGAGCCTCACGGCTGCACTGGGTGCCATGTTCTGTAGTTTATTGTAGAGACACGCAGGCTGAACTCACCTTTCACACTGTTTTAATTACCTTACTTACCTGAATTACATTTAAATTCACTGTACTCTTCAGATGTAAGTACTTGGATTGTAGATTAATAAAAGAAAAGAACAGGAACGTTTGCCCTCACGTTCATCTCGGACACTTCCCATATATCAGGTGAGCAGGATAAACAGAGATGAGCCCGGCGAACAAACAGCAGCTCTCCTCCAGCTAATAAAAACCTACGGCATCTGTTTTACTGCAGAAATGACACGTGTGCCCGGAGAGGAATATGAGTTTGTTTAAAAAAAAAGGAAAGTGATTACAGGCTGCAGTATCTCATTAAATCAAAACCCGAGCCCTGCCTTTCTAAAAAAGGGAAAATAAAAGCACAGTCCACATGTGGCAGTTTTTTTATGTGTGTTTAGTGGGACACTGGTCCAGCTCAAGTTATTTAAAGCTTTACTCTGCTTCTCATTTCTGCTGTTCTACATTTCTTCTACACACAAATTGTGGTTTCTTTCTCAATACACTTACAAATCAGTTATTATACATGTCTCCCCTCTGTTTTAATCCACGACGTGGTTGATTGATTCTTGAGTCACCTCTAAACGTCTCCACACCTCAATCCCTGTCCACTAAGACTACCACTGATGATTACTTTTACACTAAATGTCAAACAAACAAATCACAAGTTCTGAAAGAACGAAGTGATCAAATCTTCAAACCTCCTGTTTAGTTTGGCCAACAGCCCAAAACCCCACAGAGAAAAGCAGCAAGTCCATTTAAGATGCTGGAACCAGCAGATATTTAATATCTTTGCCAGACTTAAAGACTTAAGACACTTAGAGGTTTATTAAAATTGTGGATTCCTGCTCATGTTGATATCAAAGACATTAAAAGGAAAAAAAAAACAACAAAAAAAAAAAAACCACACACATTTTCTGATTCGGCCTTTGAATCATAAGAGGGTAAAAAAAACTTCAAACTCACACAAAGAACCAAAGGCAGTTCAATCAAGTTCAAAACCACAGCAAAGCACACTGGGAAACCGGCGTGTAAGACGTGCACACCGCAACACAACCGCAGCCACTAACTCACCAGCCTGACACAGGCCGACAGGAGTCCTCAGCTCTGCCAGCCTGCTGGGGATCAGAATGTGTTGGCTGGTGACGCTGTTGGACCAACCTAAACAGAGCGGCCACAGACACTGAGACTGCAGCTGCGATCGGGGCTGTCGCTGCTGGATGAGAAGCTATGAACACCAACTAGTCAGCGCTGCAAAGCAAACTCACCCTCAAGGTTTTGTTATTGCATTCCAGCCCTATACTGAGATCAACACCTTGAACGGCTGGGACAGACATAGTTATTTTTAATAGCAAATTGACAAAACTGTACGCTATAATGAACTCTTTATCACCAGGTTCTGCATCGTCATCTTAACCCCGAGCTGCAGTTGCCGAGTTTCAAACAATCACCTGTGATCTGGGAGGAAACCTTGGGGCTACGGGACGATACTGTATTCTAAAAGTAATAACTAGGGATGGGGATCGATAATTTTTATTGATATCGATGCCATTATTGAGACTGTTTAACGATGCGATTCTTTCCCGATACCACTATCGATACTTTACTATTATTTGGTGACGGTTATTTGGTAAGCCCAGACCCAACGGGCATGAGGTAGGCCTGCACGGTATGAGGAAAATATTCAATGTGCGATTACATTGTTATATATTGAGATGACACGTGACTCGCGATAAATAAACAAATAATGAAGTGTGAATATTAGCTGCCTGGTTGTTTTACAATTATTAATAGAATTTAAGAATTTAAATACATCTAAATGTTGTTTCTAGAGCAGCAACATTAATGTTTAGTTTTCTTGACCATCCCGTTTCAAGTTAAATCAGATTTGATGCTCGAGACATAATGTTACATCATAGGACCCGCTAGTCTCCATAGCAACATCGATAAGCTCACACACATTGATTTTTGGGTTTAGAGAAATTTTGGAACCGGGTCCCTTTAGAACCGGATACTGATCCCCATCCTTAGTAATAACTTAGATGGCTTGTTAAAAAAAAAATCAACTTTTTAAATGAATTAACGACTCACTCTCTTCGTTCTCCAGGTCGCTGTCGCTGTTAGCATGAGCGAGCCCGTGTTTCTGCAGGTGTCTCCTGATGCTGAACATCCTCTTCGCCCTGCCATAATTTTTCAGCTTTGGCTGGTCCACTGAGTCCGCCACTGTAAAAACGCCATTCTTGTCGTCATGGGAAACGGTGCTGCTGCCGTTGGCCGGAGAAGCCATGCTGGAAGAGCCAACTCCAGCCTGACAAAGATTTAAACAAGCAGCGATAATCAGCAAGTTTTAGTAGCTGCGGGAAGTCCACACAAAAGCAACACTGAAGCCAGAGAGAAATTACGACAAAGTTGTTATGAAATAAGAAACGTTGCCTTGTTTAAAGCTTTGTTTTTTAAAATTATAGATAATTAAATTGTTTGAAAGAGGATTTAATCCCTCAGTTTATCTGAAAATTAGAAAAATCAGCAAAATGAAAATGCATGATTTGGAGCAGCAAAGTGATATTTAAGAAGACGTTTCTTTCCTCAAAATGTAAAGGAATCTGAATGATGATATTTGAGACCTGGCAAATAATTAAAGTCTTAAACGTGTTCTTGATCGAGGTGAAACTGAAAAATGAAAAGGAGAAGAGAGTGTGTGTGTGTGAGAGAGGGAAACAGAGAAGCAGAGGGCAGGTCGACGGTGCAGGTATCCTGTGTTCGCTACATGTTGGACGATGATCAAGTGACACTAACGTCAATCACTTCAGCCGTGTGTGTGTGGGTGAGAAAGAGACCTTCTCCAGCTGTGCGCGTGTAACACTCCCAATGTCCGTCAGACGGTGTTCCCCGTCGTCCCAGCGACCGTACGCCAGGTCAATCCCACCAACGAAGGCCACCGACTGGTCGATGACGATGATCTTCTCGTGATGCGCCCACAGGTAGACTGCTGAGGAGACGTGGTCAGGGTGACGCATCACCTTTGGAGAGAAGAAGTTCAGACAGGAAACATGTAGAGTGTGAGAAACCTGTGGAGATAACATTGGACACTCACCTTGATGTTGGGGTGAAGGTGCAACAGCGTTCTCTTGCTGTATCCGGAGTTGATGCCCAAAGCCAACTCCACCTCTTTGTACAGCATCACAAAGATGCGCACGCCTTGTTGCTGCGGACACAACAAAACGCTTAATATCAGTTCAAGTTCCTGTGACTTTGAGAGAGTAATTGGTTTTAACATCGGCAGCCTCACAGCTCTTCATTCAGTGTGTGTGACGTTAGCAGTGAGTGAAAACTCAAACCAAAGGCTGATAATGTCTTTATGGCTGCGATGTTTCCCCTAATGGAAACATCATGTGCTTCATTTCATACACATTTCTCCAACAGCCTGATAGATCTGGTATCTTTAGACTCTTTAGGACCTGCATCAGAATTTTAAATAAATTTAAAAATAAAGTTCTGATGGTTTAACCAATATTTGGCTGATCCGCCAGCAGGCTGCTGCTTCTTACAGGTTCAGTGTGTACGTTTTAGTGACATCTAGTGGTGAGGGTAGCGAATTGCAACCAGTGGCTCACAGTGCATTCACACGCTCCTCGGATGGTCCCATGTCCTGTGTTGTGAAGTCGTTCTTCTGATTTCAGTGTGTGTTCATGTGCTCTTAAGTCTAAATGTGGAATCAACATGGACGCTACTACAAAGATGTGTTGGATTAGCTTTATCAGAGCGTACAAACAACACGCAGGCATCTAGTTCACTATGTTATAACCAAAATATGCAAAATATGTATATGCAATGTGTGATTTTGAAATGTAAGAGGAAATGTCTCATTCTAAGCTAATAAAAACATAACGGTTCATTGTGTGAGGTCTTTATACTCCACTGAAAACAGTTATGGATATAATATCGCATTTCTGTCGATAGATCCTCTGAAATATTTCACACTGGACATTTAAAAGGCACGATGGTGCAGTTTGTTTATGAGAGGTTCCCCGTTTTCTTAAGGCAATTTGATCTCAGTTTGTTAGGTAAGGGTTGTCTCTGTGGTGCATTTAGCCTAGCTTAGCATAAAGACTTTTAGCAGGTGTAAACTGCTAGCATAGCATTATCAGAGGTACATACTAATGTTCCTATGTGACTTTTGTCTGAAATACAAAACATGAATGTGTGTTTACTGGCCAGACTTTTATCCGTGCTTTCACTCTTTGTGATTTCAGCCTAAAAAAACCCAGACCTATGAAGAAACCGTTCCTGCTCACCGCTTTGCGTTTCAGTACGCAGTCCAGGCGCCAGCGGTTGCCCTCGACAACTGGCCTCTTCAGGAAGATCTCCGGGCTCAGCCTGTGGAGCAACGCACACTGTAAGACATCACAAGTATACGCTGTATTTTCTATTTCTATTATGTTTAATACCGATGTCCTTTCTACTTCCCCACATTCTCTTTTCTCAAACAGCACACTTCTTTTTATTTATTTTATATTTTAAAAGACACAGAGACTGTTTAACACACCTTTATGTCCTCACGCCTAGACTACTGCAACACCCTCGTCACCTGCCTCACCAAAAATCTATTAATCAGCTCCTCAGCTGCCAACAAGATCAAGAGATGTGATCGCATCACGCCTGTTTTAGCCTCTTTGCATCGGCCCCCAGTATCAGTATTGAGGAATGAGAACTTGCTGTAGACTTTTAAGGCTCTTCATGGCCTCTTTCTGTGCTACAGTATATATCTGACCTCTTAGTCCCATACGAGCCAGTACGTAGCCTGATCCTCTGGCAGAGGTCTTTTCTCTTTTCCCGAGGTGCGGCTAAAAACTAGAGCTGAACAAGCTGCCGGAGGAAATCAGGTCAGAAGAATCAGTGACCTCATTTTTGTAACATTCTTTCATCTGAGAGTGTTTCGTGATTTACTTTGTTTCAACTCACTGCCCTTTTGCAGTTTTCTTTTCACTCTATTGGAAAGTGTTTTTTATAATCTGCTTGTTGTGAAATTAGTTGCCTTTATTAAGATTTTTTATGGTGTTTTTTAAATGTATGTATGTGTGTGTGTGGGTGTGTATTTATGTATTGTTGTGGTTAAGATTTGGACCCTGAATCAGTAATTACGTTCAGACTGACTGGAAAAGGTAAAAAAATGTATTGTATTAAGATTCTTCTTCTTTCGGTCCTTCCTTCCTCAATTAATCTGAAAGCATGAAAACCCCTAAAACAGGACAAATCTTTTCTTTGAATACAGTTTAATGCCAACACTTAAAGGAACAAGTAAAACTCTTATTGCACAATGTTTAATTCTACTGGAGTATTGTTTTTGCATATCTACCCTTGTACTCTAGAGTACTCCTTCCAATACAACAGCTCCCATAAATCACTTAGACACACACACTTCAGTGTTTTCACTAGGATTTTTTTGTGTGGTCGACCCCCCTGAAACTACTACTGTCGCAGAGCAGCCACGGTACGTACACGTGGTGTCGTCATCAACGTGACGCACCAATTTTAGCCTGTTTAGGTTCGTCACCTTCTCCGTTCCTCTTCAATCTTTTTAATCGCTGAAGTTACTACCTCCTAATGGAGCTACAGTTATGCCACCTTCAGATACTGGGCGATGAAACCATTGAGAGGTGCCCTTTGAAATGTGTTTTCTGAATTCTGTGTTTTACAATTGAAGCACCTTTTGTCATCTGAAAGAGTACTCATGTGGTGGTGATTAAAATTTCAACAGTTCAATAAGAAAATGTTACAAATTGCACATACAGTATATATTCAAATGCATGTACAATTATTTATGGGGACAGTTCACAATAAATGTAGACTACTGCAACAGTAGGATGTTAAACAGGCTATTATAATACTATGGGATTTGATAGGGGACAATTCAAAATGAATGCATTGTTGCAGTACAACTCCGTCCACACAGCCATGAAATCTACAATGAGCTGGCGTCTTGCATCTGTCGATGTAGTTTCACTTCTGTGAGTTAGGTGACGTTAGCTTTTGCTATCGCGCTGTCTTTGATCTGTGTGGAGGAGCCGCTAAGCCCCGCCCTCACTGAAACACCACCACAGAGAGGACAGAAGCAGCTCTGGTAAACTCCGGAACAAAGCTGTGCGACTAAAGTTCAAATTAATTGAACTTTTGAGGCAACGAGCGAAAAGCGAATCCCCTGTGTTTGCTTGTGTGTGTGTGAAAACACACGTCCGTATACAGCCTAAACATATATATTTTATCATTCTTTCAGGGAGGGCCGCCCCCCCCAAAACAATGGTAGGGGAAACACTGCCTTTGCATGTAGTGTTGAAAAGTGTGTCTCTGGGTGTACTAGTATAACAGTAGTCTGAGCCTCAGACTGTAACTGATCTGTTTGACCAGAAAACCTCCCAAGAGGTGACCGCAAAGTGCACTCACTGAACTCTGAAACACTCACACAGAACATCAATGTTGTTCTGCAGAATCTCATCTTAGCGTGCTCGAGCTTGAGGAAACACATAAAAACACACACACTTACCACCAGTCTGTGATGAATATTTCCTCTTTGGCTTCTTCAAGAGCGTCGGCCACGTCCTCCATGTATGTTTTCCCATTCACATACCTGTAGAGGACACACACACCCCTTTAGGACAAGCCAAACAAACACTTCCCCCTCTCACTTTTCAGTTTGTCCATCGTCTGTACATTCAACCTCTCAGTGCTGCACACACACACACACACACACACACACACACACACAGCCTCACAGACAGTATAGTGTTGCCCAGCTGAGAGACAGGTGATGAGCAGGTGAGGCTCACTTTCCCTCTCTTTGTGTCGGGTTACTCCAGCGACACACACACTTAACGGCAAACTCTCTGAACACTTTCTGCCAGCTGGACCAGGCTTCATCTAGACGTCCTTTTTTTTTTTTTTTGGCCCCGGTGCCTGGCTCTAATTAACATCAATTTAACGCCGGGGTCCGAAGGGTGAAGTAGTTTTCCTCGTTAACACTCGTCACTTCACCCCAAATCACAAACAAAAAGGGATGAAGACAAACGTCAGCTAAAATGTTAAAAGACATATACAACACCAGTGGCTAGCGTTGGTTGTTTGCCGTGGTTACCATTTGGCGGGGATGTTCACTTCCTCTCTGGCGAAGGATCCGAAGCGGTGATCGGTGAGGAAGGCCGAGCCGTGCTTCTTGATGAATACTTCAATGGCCTGACCCCACCAGCGGGCGTGTCGGTAGCTGCTGCACTTCAGCACCAGTGATCTGCACACAAACACACACACATTTATATAAATATCACTTCATCTTTGCCGATTATTCATGCTGAACTTATGATCCGATTGGTTTTCCCGTGATTTAAACTGTCAAATACATTGACTAATAAATGTTGCTCTACTTCCTTGGGGAGTAATTACATTAAAAGCAAAAGTTCTCAGCTCTTTAATGTTTGGCTGCTGGACAATTATTGTGTTTAGAAGGAAGACATGATGCATTTAGATCCAGCAAATCAAGGATATTGCTGCGGCTTTAATTAAATAATTCTAAGGCTTTGGGTAGTTTTCTTTAGTAGCTGATTAATGGTGTGTTAATGTGAAAAGGCACTTTAAAGTTAGTTACTTAACTGAAAAGCCTTTGACTGCACTTAATGACGATGTTTGGTTTTGTAAAATAAAAGAGATTTAGAGTTACATCAATTGCTCTGAAGGCAAAGACCCTGAGCTATATAACAAACATTTGCTTTTGAGATTAAGGTAGTTTTAATTATGGGAAACATCTAATTAAAAAACCAAAACAAATTAAGGTGTTTTAAAAACGTGAGATAAGAGAACACAAGATGAGAAAAAGCGTTCAGGTGTGGCAGCAACACAAGGACAGAAGTAAGCGCAGATAAACACAGAAAATAAAAAATAGTATATTAAAAATAGTATATTCCTCCTCACTAGCTCCCCTAACTAAATTTAAGGGAGTTTAGCCTCATTTAAGGAAATTAAATGTAACGTTGCTTTACAGAATATGTGGTTTGTAAACAGTTGAACAATAAGTTTACATGCAAGAAGTTTCTGAGTTTCTACATAAATGTAACCCGACTTGGAAACGAGCACTGTAGAAGTTACGCTATATAAAACGTACACGTGTCACGCACCTGGACAGACTGTCGATGCGAACGCCATGTTTGGTCTCCGTGTCTTTGGAGTCCATTAAGATCTTGAACTCCTTGTCGACCAACATCACAAAGGAGATGGCTCCCGAGTCGGGCTTCATGTACAGCAGGAACGAGTCCTTCACCACCAGCCAGCTACGCACAACACACATATTTTAACCCAGAGAGCACGACACAGGCTGGAACCAAAACCCCAGCACATGATTGAAAACACTCATTTAGAAATGGAGCTGAATGTGAGTACATAAAAACAAAGTCAGAGTTAAACCTGGAAGTTTCTCTGCAACATCAAACACACGACTACGTTGAGGTTTGAGCACAAAACAGTTCTCTGTGATTGTGTCTGTGGGTGTTCACTGACCGTTTGGACCAGTGGTAGCAGATTTTGCTGCGACCACAGCAGTTCATCCCGGGGATCCGATGGCCGCCGGATCGCTTCAGCACCATTCCTTCTCTGAAGGACAAGAGAGCTGCTGTACTGATGCAGGTTTTAAGTAGGACATTATATACATTACAGTCTTTACACATTAATAGTAGGCGGTGAGAGTTGTTCTTACAAGCCTTTTGGTCCCAGATCGTGGATAAAGGACAGCTGGCTGACATCAATGAACTCCATCTGAAAGAGAATAATAAGGGTTTCTATGCAAAACAAAGGAAATTATGGTCCATTTTCCTGACATCTTCTTAGAAGTGAAGTACATTTAACACGACTGTTCTTACCGTTGCGTGGTAGCTCCTGTACATCGGCATCTTTAGCAGTTTATTCAAGTAATCTTCCAGTTGTTTCTGGAGCAAAAACACATTAAATAAATCATCCAGCCAGTGCAATAAAATTAAAATCAACAAGTATAGAGCGCCTTAGTCCATCGCTTCTGCTTCCACCCAATGGGATCTTAATCCTACATCAACATTTCTCATCTGGCACAATGTAAGCAACATGGCCGTCACCCCTTTCTGTCAGAACGAGGGGGAAAGTATTAAATCTGGCCATGTTGCTTGTATGTTTACATTCTGCTCCACAACACACAGGCATGACGGCGTTAGGCTTCAGCCAATGAGAGAAAAGTTTATGACGTCACATTTGTTTTTTTGGATTTGTGGTCTTTCTAATTACGCATTTTCACAGTCTTTACAACAAACTGTGACTTTCTTGACTTGCAAAATTATCTTTAAAATAGACAAAGATTATGTGTTTACTTCAGGGCACAAGTGAAACTCATTTATTCCCGAAATAAGATCCCATAGAGGTCCGGTGGATTGGGAGGCTCTCTCTAAAAGCATAAGAGAGAGAAAGACAGATGCTCTAACGAAAGGCATACCCTGCGACTGGAAACTTGATCCTCTCTGCCCAGCTCCTCTCCTCTTCCTCTGGGGAGGGCCGGCATCTCCCTCACCTCGTTCCTCGCCACCGTCTGCCTCTTCACCGTGTGACTGCGGAGAGAAATGACAGGAGAGGTTGTCGGTTTAAATGTCGGGACCGCTAAGTGCGAAACTATAACAAAATGTTTGTTTCTAATGCAGATTTTAGCAGCTTTCTGGAAGGTTTAGGTGATAAAGGCACAAAGAAACGCTGAAGAAAATGAAAATGGGCCTTGCAGGTCTGACGTGTTAAAAGTTGATCCTGCGTTGTAATGTCAGTCTCCACCCGTTTACATCGCTCTTAATCTGACCTTCTGAGGCTTTAACAGAGCCAATCCAGGACAAAAAAAAAGGCCTTGGCGTGTTTACCTGCGTGACGGCAGCGGCAGCCTCATGAAGGTCTTGTACGTCCGGAGCTCTCTGTGGAGATCCATGAAGTGTTTCTCTTTCCTCTTCACCAGCCACGTGAACTCCCCGTGTTTCAGCTCAATCTTAAACACCGCCGGCATAGACTGAGCACACAGCACAGATACTTAGGTGAGATATTGGCAATGAAAGCTTTAGATTGTAAAAAGATTTCCTCATTTGGAGTTCTTTAAGAATCAGCATTTTGTTGTTAAATTATTAGCAGCAGCGTTTTCAACTCTCTGTGGCTGCTTTAAGCATGTGCCACCATCATCAGGCAACCACGACGAGACAAAGACAATACAATACAACTGAGTTCATGTTCACGGGTCGCAGTCTCAACCGGTTAGGTCAAAACTGTGTGCACAATAGTGGCTGATGGTGGAGAAGTGCAGTCAGTCATGCGGTACGCAGCGTAGTTCATTAGGAAAGTATCATTTAAAAGTTTATTCATCTTTTTAATGTAAATATTAGTAGGTACAAAAATACATTATTTGTGATTCAAAATATTGGTTGTTGATTAATGAATTAGTGACCCCCACAGGTGCATGATTTTACTGCTACTGCCTCCCACGTAACTCGAACCCTGATGCAGACTCTTTAGGGTTTGTTGACATAAAAATGTACAAATACATTAGGCTTGGATTGAAATCATCCCCTCCCAAACAAGTAGAGGAGAAATCTGGTTTGGGGTTCTTTCAGTCCAATTATTCAGCACAGCATCTTGCAGATAGAATATGAACTGAGCAACCAAACCTCTGACCGTCTTACTGGAGGCCAGCCCAGTTATTTTACACCTGTTGTGAGAGTTGAGTGAGAACAGCAACGTCACCAATTTCTGACATGTCGTCTGAGACAAATAATAACTGCATAGAGTGAAATGTCAGGGAGGTAAGCGTGTCTTTGTGCACCTTGTTGACGCTCCTCTGTGTGGTGACGTTGAAGCGGTCCTGAGCCGAGGTGAACCGCTCCACCTCCAGGATCTTGGCGGTAATCGGAGAGGACAGGAAGACTTTGGCCTCGGGCTCCTTGAATCCGACTGTGTGGTAGATGGCAGAGAACGGCAAGCGCTCCGCTGCAGATGTACAAAGGTATATGATATCAGACAGATATATGTAGTAATGTTAGATGAATACTGACAAATATTGACAACATGCACACACACCTGAGGCGCTGCCGTCCGTTGTGTCGTACTCTCCATCTTCCAGGTCGAGCTCGCGGGTGTCCAGCTTCTCCATGATGCCGGTCATATCGTTGGCAACCAGGTGCAGGGTGCTGGTAGTCGGCTCGGACTGCCGCAGCATGGCTAGCACTTAGTCTGGAGCCCGGGGCTCACCTGGAGAGACAGGTTGGAAAGGGGGAGTTCAAGCAAAGATACGGGTCAAACCTGAATCCCATCCTTCCATTTTCTTGTGCATCTCCGAGGCCCGAGTGGTGGCACAGGACAACCAAAGTGAGGCTCCCTCCTCCCCAGCTCCTCCTGGAAAATCCAAAGGCTTTTCCAGCCAAGATTTGATACTTAATCCTTCGCAACCAGATGCCCAACCCCCCCCCCCGATCTGGCTCCTTTCAACATGAAAGAGCAGCCGTCCTACTCTGATCTGCTCACAGCTTTGATACCCTTTTACCTGCCAACTTAACGGAGGTCTGGATTTGAGGTGAGACCAGCAGGGCAGCGCCATTAGTGATCAGACAAACTCCAGCTTTTACAAATTACCAACATCAAAGGTCCTGGAAACGTATTTGGAGTGCAACATAAAACACATTTTCAGCCAAAGTAAGAACAGACATTTTTTGTCTTCTTGTTTTTATACTTCTCACTGGGTTTAAAGTGTCCAGGTTTCTGCTGTCAAATAATTCTTATACTTAAATAAAAGTACTAATGCCACACTATACTCTATTCCAAGTAAAAGTCCTGCATTGAAAAGGTTATAATAGGAAAATATCCTTTAAAGTAGTAAAGCAGTAAAATTTCACTTTATATATTCTATCAGATTGTTATTCCTCATACATTAATGTAAACAAGGATTTTTCTGCTGTAGCTCATTTTGAACCATTTTGTATGGAACTGACACTAATGATTATTTTCATCATGGATTAATCTGCTGATCATTTTCTCTATTAACAGATCGATTGTTTGGTTTGTAAAGATTCAGAAAATAGTGAGAAATGTTGTCACAACTACTCACAGCCCAAAGTGACACCTTCACAATGCTTGTTGTGTCCAAACCTCAACATTATAAACAAACGTTACAGTTATAACAGTCACTCAAAGGAAAAGCAGCGAATATTAAAACAATTGACTAATTGTTTCAGCTGTACTTGTATGAATATATAAAGTGGAAATGTGTGGAAACGTATATCATATTCTATAATAAGCTCTTCGTATGTTTTGTGTCTTGATTTGTAAATCCAAAGAAGGTTAAATTCAAGGGCAACTGGACTTGGTTGAAGACACTGGAAGACGTTTCGTCCCTCATCCAAAGGACTTCTTCAGTTCTGACTGACTGGCAGGGAAACTCAGCTATTTAACCACAGTGGGGTCGTTTGCCAGGATCGTCGATACCGCTGGTTCGTTAGTGTTCCTGCCTGTTGTAACGACAGTCGTTATGGTCGTTAGGACTACCCGTGGCTACGACTGAACGACCATCGACATCCTAACCTGAGGCCAATAGGTTACGTTCCTTGAGTTTCCTGGGAAGTGATGACTTGACTTATAACTTTCTTTGGATAACTATGACCTGGATGACTGAGAATCTTCACAGACATCTTAACTTGTAAAGTAACTAAAGTTGCTGTTGGATAAATTTAGTGATGTAAAAAGTACAATATTTCCCTCGGAGATGTGATGAAGCAGAAGGGGAAGAAACCAAATCTGTTTTCGCTGGTTATCAAACACTCTCTCTTTCTGTCTTTCTGATGGATTTCTTCATCTCTTCTTGTGTCATTTAGCTCTGCATCTCTTTCCTCGCTCTCTTCATTCACCTTTCCCTCTTCCCCACTGTTTTATCTTCACAGCCTGCAGCTCTTCCATCCATCTCTTTCTCTCCTTCCTCTCAGATCACATCAGATGAGACACATTAATCCAAACAACAGGATTAGCAGAGGACAAGTACAGGAAGCGGAGGCCTTTTTAACCATATTCCTTACTACAGGTGTGTGTCGGTGGAGAGCGAGGGGAAAAAAGCAGGTCAATGAGGATTGAAGGGAGGGATTTTCACATAAACGGACCCAGAAACATGAATGTGATGAGAAACGCTGTGTGTAGGTGAAACAGAGACATTGATGACACCTGGATGTTTACTCCTAAACTCCCAGAAAACAATTAATCATGTCAGATATCATTAATTATGCAGTAAAACAAGCTGTGAGCCTCAGAAACGAGCAGCTACAGGTGCTTGAAAAGTTTCATGGGCAGATTTCACATTTGAATAAAAACAGTGGAGTTAAATTATGACCGAATCATCCGACCTCAGTTTTTTGGTTTGAAGACGGAAACAAAATGTGCTGCAGTGTGTCATCCCTAGGTTTCATTCAAAAACAGCAATCGATCGATTCATACAAGTTTTGCTTGTGGCTGATATCTCAGAATAGGTGTGTAAGACGTCACATATGGACGCATTTTCAAGACCGTTTGCCGTCAGTTTGTAATGCACTGGGAAGCCCCGTAGTGTCATAGTTCAAAGCACTGGAGGAAGCCCTGTAGCGCCATTTTTGAACGCTAAGCAGTTATAATATAGATCTGACTGTAATATAGATTCTGCTCTTCCTCTACAACCTGCAACCACATCTAAACTAGCCCAGCCAGCTCCAACATAATGAGAAACACATCGCCACAGCCACAACTGCCACAACTTCACAATACTCACAAAACATAAATTGATACCATAGTTTAAATAATGAGAAGCAAATATCTCTGGACATTTACGTTTATTCAAATCTGTGCACTGTATAAAATTCTGCAGCGTTAAACTCTGGTCTGTTTGTTTTCACTTCCTCCTCCGGGCGACACCGCCACCAACCACAGCAGACAGGGAGACTGTCCCATTTCCAGGAAATCAACTGGTCTGAACCCCACAGAGACCAACAAGTGTCCATCAGCAGCCACGAGTTCTGTAAAAGTGCTCTTGAGCAATACACTGAACCGCTGCCTGCTATTTTAAAAAGCTACAAGCAAATAAAGCAAAATTAGAGGGAAAGTTTTCTAAAAGTATATAAAATTGTAGTTTAAAGGGCGGTTAGGTTACACATAAGAGCTGCTACAGATTTTTTAGCATTTAACATTAGTGACAGTATTATTATTATCAAACAGGGGACCAGGTGAATTAATCGGATGTGATGTTTTTCCAGGGAGGCTGCGAGGTTTTTCTAGAATTGAGTGAGAAGAGGGGATTCCCAGCCCCAGGATCCCAGCTGAATTTGGTTATAGGCAGAATCTCCGATTTTACCAAGTTGATGGAGTAACCAGAAGCCTTTTTATAATTAATGATCAGGTGACAGACTTCTAATGTATAACAGGACGTCATCGGCATACAGACTAATTTTATGGTGGTGTGACTGTGATTGAATGCCTGAGATACAACATATAAAATATGGATGTATAAACATTATGAAAAAAAAACAATAACCTGATGCCATTAAACTGTAATGTGGCGCAGGGGTTTTCTACCCGGAAGTTCTTATAAACAAACAGTGCTCCCTCGTGGCTGGACTTTAAACAGTAATATAAACAAATTCATCTGCAACACTTGCCTCTTCTGGGTAAAACCACCTGTACACCAAACGACCTTCAAAATCAAAAATTTTTGTTTACAATAGAAACACGGCTGATAGAACATCAAATGCTCTATTTAGCACAATCCACATATTATAATTAAAATTGAAGTGCTCAACAGGGACCACCCAGCTTGGACCAGTTTGTCTCCTTTCAGCACTTAGCTTAAACGCAACAAAGTCAAAACTATGATTCCCTTCTGGCAGAGATACTGCAAACCCTTTCCGGTAAAAAATAATGTTATATGCATAATGTAATGAGCCCTCCTTCACTTAGATACTACTATGCGTGCCCCCCCATGACACAGAGACCATCGTAGGACATTAAATCTCTCCATAAATTATAAATTAGTGTCTCCAACGTAGATTGAGTCTGGGATACAGCCCTGCTTTTAAATGAAGAATTATTTGAAAAATGATTAACAGGGTTTCTGGGTGGTTCTTTTCTGTTGCTACGGTCATGTTTGTCTGTGACCCCTTAATATTAAGTAATGTCTCCTCGAAGCTGCTCATCATTGATTGCATTTATAAATTGTGAGCAGTTCAATCTGAGGGGGATTTCACCTCTCAGATTATTTCATTAGAATCATTTTTTTAGAATTCAGAAGAGGTAGAAGTACAGTTTTTTATAAAAAAGAATAAAGAATTAAAGAATAGTCAGAAAACATTTATGTTTCACAATTTAGTTTTTCTTATTTTCTAAAAGGTACATTCATCTTATGGCACATTGTAGGCACCTGTGAATGACAACAAATGTAATTTTATATATATATATTTTACATACACACACACACACAGTAAATTATTTTGCCTCACCTTTATGTGTACTGTTGTGAAAAAAACTCACATTCAGTTAATGTTTATCAGCGCAAACTCAAACAAATTACATGCAAACTTTTACTACTGTACACAGTGCACGTAGCCTCTAGTATGCAAACCATCCTCAGCATTAAGAAACCATAGGGTCTCTGTTTGTTTTGCCACTGTTGTATTGAAACTGTGAGATGTGGGTGAAAGTGCCTCTGAGGTGTGTCTGCATAACAGCAGCTTCTGGTGGAACCGGTGATGCGGGGAATTGAAAAATAGCATTAGACCAGCTGGAGTAAAAGTAAATGAGGGAAAAAAGCCAAAGAATCAGCCAAATAACTGCACACTGAGCACAAAACTGAAATGATACAAGCATGTATGCTTACTGTAACAGAAACTCTTATGTCTTTTGTCTGTGAGGGAATAAGATTATCAGCCATAAAAAGAAATACAAACCTGACCCTGTTATTCACTCCCTTCACATTTGAAATAGATTTGGAAACAAAAAGAATTAGAAGAACTGAGCGGTTTCACCACAGAGATTACACTGACACTGAAAATCCTCTAATTTAAAAAAAACCCACCTTATTAAATATTTAAAATCAGACACTGGGACACATTTTTGAAACAAATGAATTTAACTTATTCAATAACAAACGAGAATAAGATATCACCTTGACCAGGATATTGTATGACAATATTAATCATGATATACAATAATTATGAGAGAACTGTATAATAATTATAATTTTCCTC